GGTCCACCACCCGTCCAGAGGGCACCCGTTCAAACACAACAGCACATCCAACCGGATCTCTACGGCCGGGCGGACGTCGGCGGCGGCAGTGCCGGCTATACGGCCGCACCCATGGGTTACGGCGACTACGGTATGGGTGCCGGCGGTGGTGGCGGCCAAGCGTTGGCCGACCCCCAGCAGGTCCGCGGCGGCGGCGGTGGTATGGGTTACGGACAGCAGCCGATGCGAAACGGTTACGGCGGTAGTGTTGGCGCTTATGGCGGTCGCACTGGTGGCGGTGCCGGCGGCGGTGGTGTTGGCGCCTACGGTGGCCGCACTGGTGGTGCCACAGGTGCCGGCGCGGGTGGTGTACCCCCGCCGCCGCCTCCCAGCGCTCGTTGGCAGCCGTACTGATTGCGATGATTGGTTGCGGTTGTGTTGGGCTCCAGTAATTTGCACACAAAAAGGTAGTCGATATGTACACATGATATGTTAATTAATATACCCCCATCAAAACAAAAGTGACCATCATTTCTCTCACTCTGTGTGTATGTTTTTGTTATGATTATACACACTATTTATAGATATATATGTCTTGCCATTGATTATGATAAGGATGACCAAATGATAAAACAATAAGTACATTGATGTTTTTTATTAATTTAAATAAGTTTTAGGTTTTAATTACTAATTAATTAATTAATTTCTATAAGTATTTGGAAAGTATAATTAAATAGTTTATTCAGCTATACGACTTTAACTATCTCTCTGTTTTCTCTCTCATGTCTCTCTTCTATGGCTCTCCTATTCTCTCTCATATGTCTCTCTCTCTCTCTCCTATGACTACTACGGCTCTCTCCTATTCTCTCTCTCTCTCTCTCATTCTCTCTGTGTTTATAGTGAACACCCGTTTGTAATAAACACTCGTATATAAACATATATACAGTATATCTATATATCACACATTTATATCCCAGAATATTTGTAAATCATATTACTTTTAATTAAATGCCTATCGATTTAAGTGAAGAATTTATTTTTTAATTGATTAAAAGTCTTAGTTTTTATTTTTTATGTCTCTTTTTTGATGTAATATTAATTTTTGTCTCAATTTATTGTTTTAATTAATTATATTTAACTTTTTTTTGCTGTCTTTTTTGATTATAATTTGTAATTTAAAAATCTATGCAAAAACAAAACACTGAATGTCTTTTTGTTTTTTAGTTTTATTTATGATTTATAATTTTAATCTACTATTTAATTATTTTTTGTGTTTTTTAGACACTTTATGGACTGAAATATCATATCTATTATTGAAACTTAAAAATACTTGTGTTTTCGTAACTTTTTTCTCAATTACTTGTATTAAAAAACAATTTATAATTAATTAGTGTTAATTTCTGTCTAAATATGGTAATAATCGGTCCGTTATTACACTATATGTCTGTCTCTCTCTCTCTCACTCTCTCTCGTTATAATGAAGTCCTCTAACTGTGTATTCATTCACTCTCTCCGGCAATGAATATATAATTTTTAAGTAAATTAATAAACATTTTAATTATTTTAATCAATAATTTTGAATACTATTTAGCGCTAAATCTCTGGCACTAAATATCGCAAGAGTTTAGACAATCGACTGATTGAATGAAAATCACAATTAATTTTAACTTTATTTACATTTTTTAACCTAATTTTCTAATCAATTGCATTAAAAATTGAAAGTTTTTTTTATTAATTATAATTACTTTTTTAATTTTACACCAAATCTAACCGAAAATATATATATATCAACAATAATGTAGTGTAAAATTAATTAAATCATATTTGTAATACAAATATATTTATATAACAATTATAATTATGTCTATTAATTAATAATTAATTAATTAATTACTGCTGAATGTCTCGCAAACAAACAAAAAATCCATTAAATGTTTTGAAAAAAATCTAATAAAAAACACCTTAAAAATCAACAAATGATTTGAAATTTGCAATAAATTTAATTCAATACTAATCTCGCAATGAATTTCACTTAATTGCCCACCAATTGCTTTGGGGGTGGAGGGGGTCTCACACACCCCTCCCCCTCTCTCACTAATCCATAATCTCTCTCTCGATATAGTGAACTGACATCTCTCTCATGTCTCACACCATCTCACTGTACACTATATCTCAAGTATAGTGTACTGCAAAACAAAATATACATTTATATACCTATGTATTACCTTGGTGGAGATCCTATTATTATCGCATTTAATACCAGTGTGTAAAATGAACCTGATAATTTTAAAGCAAATTGGACAAACACACATACAAGCTCGTTAATACAGTAATGTAGTGTACAATAAACTCAATTTGTACATGTACAATTTAGACGAGCCTGACAAAATCTACACTGGTAATATGATGCTGAAATAAAAATACATTTTTTATGATCAAGAATATTCTGTATGTATTCAAAAACGCTGATCTGTATTATGCAGTAAACCCACAAATTTAAGCCTGATCGTTTTAATGCATAATAATTATAGCACGTGTATTAAATAGGATTGTGTGGGGACTCTAACCCTCCCGGAGTCCCCCCTTCTCTATCACTCAGAAAGTAAGTCTCTATTTCTCTCTCAATATAAATATAAATCAATATTTAAATTAAATAAATACTAATAGTACACTAACCGGTATTTATAGTGTACCTCTTTTTATAACACTCTGTGTATACCTCCTCCTAAGCAAGTTATAAAAACTTCTAGCTTTATATTGTGTTCAAATATGCTCGTTCAATAAATTGTCTTAACAACAATATACAATTCAAATTGATCTAGGTAATTTTACTGTATTGTTAGATTAATACCGTATTAAATATTATACTTAAGGTATATTGTATTTTGAGACTATTTTTTGAAGCACTTGATTGACAACAATATATAGAAATAATTATTACCCCGTTGTAGTGAATCAAACTAGATATTCGCTCATGGTCATTAAACGCGATCCCCAATAGTGTACACAGAGTTTTATTTTATAAACTATTTTATTTAACATTTTAAGTTTAATTTAAACTTATAAATACATACATGCACACAATTCTAAATTATATATTTTATGCCAAGTTTAAATACCAAACAGTTTTTATGGGAAAAACACATGTAGTTAAACATCTGGATTTATAATTAGATAAATAAGATAGGGTTTAATTTAGCCAGATTACAACGATTATTACACGACACTCAGCAACATTAATTGGAAGTAACTTATTACAGCTAGATGAAATTAAAATTAATAATGTTAAGTTAGAAATTATGATATTCTACACAAAAATACCATTTACACTTAAAATTATAGCAATATTTGCTATGAATGAGATTTAACCTATGGCTTGAATTCAATAGATGATGGACAAACTGGAAATTAACCGAGTTGATCTCCGGATGTATATAACTATGTCACCATTAAAAACCTGGATCAGCCACTAAATGGATGGATGAATACCACGATGGTGTATAAGCGCTAGATATTTGATTTAGCTATTAAACAAATACAGACAACTGATTGGGTATTTATTATGATATATTTACTTTTACTTAAGATAATAAATATTTAAATTTTTTCAGGTGAACGGCATCCGCTTTTTTCAAGAAGTAACATTATAACTTAATTTTATAAATCTACAATTTTATTCAATGTAAAACTATTGTCTTAAATATGCATTAAGATTGTATTGTAATTTTATATTTATTTTTACTAGTGTAAAATTACCATATGCCTAATTTGATATTTATGTATAATAACTTTTTAATAATAAATTTTATACAATTTAATGACAATGTTTAATACTTTTTTTTATATAATAGCATATCATTTATAAAAATGTCCTGTGCGATTAAGGTAAATTATCACAGTCAAAGTAACTTTTTAAATCAACTAAAACAATGATACATAATGTACCATATAAGAAAAGTTCATTATATAAAGAAGCAAGCTATTACAATTAATTTCAAAGTAACAAATAATATTAATCATGGTATTTCTATGTGCACAATAAATTATATAAGCATCAGTAGTGTCTATGCCATTCGCACCGATACCTGTGCGCTGTTGACGTGCATAATATGCTACTTTCTAGCTATAATGTGCACACATACGGTATAGGTGGGAAATTGTGTAATGATCTCATACAATATACAGTATACACATGTGTGTAGTTTACAGCACAGTGTTATACCAGTACAGTATATGTCTACAGAATCGCATATACTGTTCACACAGTGTTTGTTATGAAATGCTGTGACCCAAGTCTGCTGAACACCACTACTCACTGTACAGTATAGATGTGTTTATAGCGATTGTTTTTACATATTTATTTCATGTTTGTGTATTTAAATTATTAATACATTGTGCCATTGTATAAGCATTACGATCGCATGAAATACACAGATTTATCTACATAACTACAATATTATTATATATTAAATATTAATTTATATACTTGTGTTAAGTGAGTGTATCTGAGTGTTTTGGCTATAGTATACAAGACTCTCATATATAAAGTACACCATATATACAGTACAATGATATACCAATTGGAGAAAGTAAAGCAAAATACACTGAAAGAGTGCGATATAAGTAAAGTGAGTATTGATTTTTCTTGTTAAATATTCTCTCTCTTTTAGTGCATCTCTTAGTGCTCTCTCTCTCTCTCTCTCTCTCTCTCTCTCTTTCAGCCTCCTATTTAGCTCCCATTCCCAGCACAAGAGTTTGCATATATTATGAAATATTTATATTATGCATAAGACATACATGTATATTACAAAAACAAATTTACCGCGATTCAATATATTCATACAAAATATAACCATTTATTGTATGTTATCAGTAAACAAGCATAATAGCACTTCCCTCCCCCTAAATAGACATGTATTATAACACATATTTACACCACAATGAAAAATGCATAGCAATTACAATGTTATTCATGGCAAATAATCGGCTTACTATATTATCATATTGAAATATTAATGCTGTTTTTTTTATCACGATGTATGTGCTGTAGTTGACAGGCCTATGGTATGCCGTTTATAGTAAAACACCGGCACCACAGCCGATTTGTATGGAGTTAAACAAAGTTAGCGAACATTCGTTACAATTCAAACATATGTAAGTATGAATAATTGAATATTGTAAATTATCTATAACAATTTACCGTAAACTTATCTATTATGTAGCATTATCGATTTTATATTAAATTTAATTATGCTAAATAATGTGCCCTGGTTATATATCAGCAATTTTATAGTCCATCACAGATAAAATGCAAGCAAATGTGTGTATCATTGCATTAGTTTCAGGAAATTGGTAGGAAATTGGATGCGATATATAATGTATATCCGGTTAATACAAAAATAATTTTTATATTGATGGTATTTTTATGCAAAACAATATAGCATTGTTAAATTTACAATTGAATTTGTATACTGTATTGTACTGTATATTGTGTATTCATTTAAGCATAATTAAATTCCTTAATTGATATGTTTTCCGAGTCATTAACATAATAATTATTTTTTACTTTTTATGCATTTTGCTAAATGTTTTACTAAATAGTTATCACTATATAAATAAAATGTGGTAATAGTTTAACACAGGGTCTAATATATTAAATAAAATTACTTATTATAATTAGATATAAATAGTTAGATACAACAATTAACAATATCATGTAATAAATATGGTAAAATTGTTTTACTTTATGGATATTATTTAATTATTATAAGTACAATAATTTATTTATAATAACCAATAAAAATAATTTATCTTGTAGAATTAACGGAGTGGTGGATCACACGTATGATTTGGTACAAAATTACGACACACTGCAGGGTAAATTGGACCGGGTGATAGACCGTGGTGACTATCAATTAGGCTACCCGTGGTGGGTGTTGCACACCGACTACGATCAGTTTTTGGTCGTATACCAGTGCCTTATACACAGTGATGATCCAAATGATCCAAACGCTTCCGAAGGTATGGTTGAGAGAGAGAGAGAGAGAGAGAGAGAGAGAGAGATCATAATATATGCAAACTCTTGTGCTGGGAATGGGAGCTAAATAGGAGGCTGAAAGAGAGAGAGAGAGAGAGAGAGAGAGAGAGTTAGAATACTAGATTTTTATAGTTACAAACTGTAATTGTTAAACACAATTATTTGTATGATATTGAAATCTTAACATGGTATTTATACTTTTGGGATCTAGGCAACCCACCTGATATTCAATTTATTAAATTATTTTTATTAAATCTAAACAATTACAATAATTAATTAAATATGATCATTTATACAATTGCATTAAATTAAAATTATATCTAATTAACAATACTGACATTCGGGAGAGAGAGAGAGAGAGAGAGAGAGAGAGAGAGAGAGAGAGATCGCTTATATACTTGAGAAAATTAAAAAGTTAGAAACTGTAATTGTTAAACACAACTATTTGTATGATATTGAAATCTTAACATGGTATTTATACTTATGGAGTCGGAGCCCAGTCGAGATATTTAATTTATTAAAGTAATTTTATAAAATCTAATGCCTAGATTAGTCCACTGTTTTTTCATGGTAATAAAATTTTCAAATTACAATAATTAATTAAATCCAATCATTTATAAAATATAATTTATCACAACGTGCATTAAATTAAAATTATATCTAAATTTAATTAACAAGATTGACAATCGAGAGAGAGAGAGAGAGAGAGAGAGAGAGATTTGATTGTAATTAAGGTAATTTTTCTCTTAAACTAGACGTGTGGACAATCTATAGCCGCTCGAAGACAATCACTGGCGACCAGTTGACGATCGGTCGGGAAGTGTTGCTCAAGTCTGGGGCCAAACCCACCGCCGATGACCAGCAGGAGATACTGTTCAAAGTAAACCATAATTAATGGTATTATAACACATGGCTATAGTGTTATAATAAATGATATAATTGTGTCACTCCATGTACAACACACCTTGCACAACTAATTTATATAATACAAACTCAGCCCCTGATGTATGTGTCCATTAAATTGACCATCAACAAACAAACATGTTTAAAACATTATTTACATTCATATACTTATAAAACTCAATGCCAATTACAAAACTTACCTGTATACATCTAAATTTATATACTGTACATATTTAATCAGATGTATACATTGATTGTCATTCCATTGCACACAGGGTATTGTGTAAACTATTGATTTAGGTGAAATTAATATTATTGATTATTTCTAAACATTATTAATTTGTAATTTTTTGTGTGTGATATTAAAATTCCTACTACCGGTAATAATTATTAAAATTAAATCTGCCATCATGCCAAGTAATTCTCTACATTTATTATATAACATTGTCAATTTTCTTATATAATTTAGAATCCTATTTCATTAAATAGCAAATATTTTAAAACAATCAAATAGAAAAATTATTACCTTATTGAGCTAATCTATAATTCAATTAAATAACATTAATTTCAATTTAATGTAAAATATTTGTAAATAAAATAATTTACTGAACAATTGTAAGGTATATGAGATTTCCTAAATTATATACCACAAAATTTACATCAGAATTAATGTCATGATCAAATAACTTTAATACACGTAGAATATTACATTTTAAGTTATAATTTTTATTAATTATTTATTTTTATTTATCCCGGTTTATTTGTAAATTTTTAATTTGTTAAATATTGATAGATATAGATTTTATTTGAATTATTATTATATTATATCAATGATAAAATTGGATTTGTAATATTGTGTGAAATTTTATATAATAATAAATAATATACAAGTATTTATTATAATAAGTAAATGTTACTCGGTTTTTTACTCTGTTGCTATCGAGATGGTCTTGAATTTTCTATATATTGACAAATCATATTAATATTTAATTAATCATAAAGGAAATACAACATAATTGAATTACAAACCCGTTTTGTAATATCAATACTTAATACCGATAATTGTGTAAATATTACTAGTTTTTATATTTTATTGCACATGTAATCAGTCAACCCTTGCATTTGGAAAATAACTAAAACTTATAAATAATTATTTTCATTATAATTAATGTATTTTTAAAGTCATATCAATCGTGATGACCACAAAACCAGTATTTTATTGACAATATTTCCAAGAAATCCCTTTATTTTTATCACGTTTAGAGAGCGAGAGAGAGAGAGAGAGAGAGAGAAAGAGAGAGAATAACAATATTTTATAAATACATTATTATTCATAGCATTTTTACCGTCATATGAGTACTAAAAACTATTTATCCTGTTATCACTATTTATTTAGCTTTACGTATAATTTTTACATTGATAAGATTAGTAGTCGTGGGGAATTGAACAAGTTTGATTCATAACCTGCATGTGAGAGCTCAGGGATATACAGTATATAAGCCATTGGTATTTCAAATACACACTTGTATATGATATTACACTACTTGAGAGTATTTGTGAAATTGATTTATAACTTCAAAAAAGTAATATTTTTGTAGTTTTTATACTAAAATCATATCATATTATTTCAATTGTTTGTTACGTAAAAACAATGTCGGTGTCTATCAATACATGCATAGCCCTATCGGCGCTAATCCTATGCGTGTTAATCCCATTAAGCCAACAGTCGGTCTATCCCTACCATAAGCCGGCGAGTAAGGCATTGAGAGAGTTGGACCTGAAATCGGTAAGTTTTACCATGGTTTTATTTAATTATTAATTAATTGTGACCATGTTCATTCGTGTGGATCAGTTGGAGGGCGAATGGTATGGTGTGTATCACCGGAATGCCAAAGAAGTGAACGGTTCCTGTCCTCGACTAGAGATCTTTGTGGGCAATGGTTATGTGAATGTGACCGAGAGGTATGTGTATTGATTTATCATGTGTAAATAATGTGCTAGATGTGTTTTGTAATAAGTTTTTGAATAGTGAACATGTTTTAATTACAATAAAACTTTTACCAGAATTTATAAATATAATTATTTTTTAAAACTATTAAATACTTTTTATTAATATAAACTAAAACTTATAAAAAACTAGTTAAAAATTTTAAAACTTAAATTTAATCAAAATTATTTAAAATTGATTATGTAATTAATCTACTGTAGAATATAAATAAGTTATACATTTAACCATATTCTAATGTCTAACCAGCACACTAGATAAGCTCATTTAATTTAAACATAAAACCTTATCTAATATATGACATGTCAATCGCCTGTCGGGTTATAGCCGTGGAAACAACACAGTGTTTGTACAGAAAATGGAGCAAAACCAGTACTTAAAGGGCAAAATAAGCCAGGTGATCCAATTGCCCGAGGGCTACTCGGTGGAGAGACCATGGTTCATTCAGCAAGTGGACCCGGTGCTGGTCATATACCAGGTGACTACCGGTAGTAGCGATACAGGTAATTTGATTAGTCTCTCTTTCTCTCTCTCTCTCTCTCTCGATTGTCAGTCTTGTTAATTAGATATAATTTTAATTTAATACACGCTATATTTTATAAATGGTGATCATATTTAATTAATTATTGTAATTGTTTAGATTTTATAAAAATAATTTAATAAATTAAATATACAGGGGGACGTGGTTGTTCCATAAATATAAATACCATGTTAACATTTCAATATTATACAATTAGTTGTGTTTAACAATTACAGTTTCTAACTTCTCAATCTCTAATATAAGTCTATAAGCTCTCTCTCTCTCTCTCTCTCTCTCTCTCTCTCTCTCTCTCGTGTATTTAACTTAAAATTAAAGTGATTTTAACCATGTTTACTGTCTGTTTAACCATGTTATCTAATGGTCTAATTATCGACCATATAATCAGATAACTGGTCTGTTTATAGTAGAAACCAAACGCTGAGCACAACTATCGTGGAAAGTGGGGCACAAAGACTGGTAGAGGCCGGCGCTGTCCGCGACATCAATGGTAATGTGGGCTATCATTGCTCGGATTGACCAACAAGACCAATGACCATGGTCATTATAATTATGGTTATTTTAGTACTTGGTTTAAATTGAAATTATTAATGTTTTTTGAAAAAATTTCTCATTTTCTGTTAATTTATTTATTTTTCTCTACTTTTTTACTTAATATTTTAGTTAATTTTTTTTACTAATAAATATAAATCTAATTTTATCTTGTGCTTTTTATTTATTTATTTACAAAAATGTGATTTTAAGTTATTCAACTACTGTCACTGAACTAGATTAATGTTAAATTATTATAATTAAACAAATAATAATAGAGTAACCAAGAATGTAAATCATTAATTAATTTATAAATTACTATATTTTAATTAAAATCCAGGTATTATAGTGAGTAATGCTAATATGTTTTACTTATAATGTTTATTACATTAATGAATTAAATTACAAACGTTAATATCTGCGAAAACACCTGATATTAATTTGAATATCAAAACAAACACTTGTGTTACTAATTTAGAGTAGTGTTGAAAACAACATGGTTTCTAGCAATTAAATAAATACAACTATTTTCAACAACTCAAAAATGTTCAAGCTTGTATTACTAATCACAATGACCACGATTACCCAACAAATGGTACATCCATATAATCAGGCTATTAGTAAAACACTTCATCAGTTTGATCTAAACGAGGTATTCAATATTAAAATATTAATTACTATGAAAATGTACATTGTGGTACATTAGAATAAATTAACATAACTATCATGATCAATATTTAATAATACAGTTAACCGGGCGCTGGTATAGTGTATACAACAGTGGTCAGAGGCCCGGCAACAGTCTCTGTCCGGTGCTAGACGTACGGGTAGACAACGGCAATGTTACTGTTACTGAACGGTAGGTAAATAATCAAGATTTTATTTATATTTTAAACAAACTTGTTTATTATAGCTTAGGTATCGATGTTATCACAAATGAAATATTAATATCAAACCAGAATTTAAAGGGAAAATTGGAAAAAGTGATCAATATGGGCACTTTTACAATAGGGCTACCATGGTACATTTTACAAGTGCACCCTGTGCTGGTTGTCTATAAACAAATATCATTCAATAAGCATGAAGGTAATATCTATTAGATAATTGGTCATGATGATTAAAACTTTATGTGTATAATATCTGTGTTTAGACCAGTGGTCAGTCTATAGCCGAGCACCGGCTGCGAGTGTGGGTGATGTGGACCGGGGACTAGAATTGTTGGCACAGGTCAAACCTGTGGGAACCGATACTAATGTACCTGGTTATTATTGTCACAAATAAATCACATAGTGAAATGTACAGTTAATAAATTTTAAGCATGGTAAATAAATGTTTGATGTTTTAAAATTGTGGTCATGTTACATTTAACATGTTTAACACTTACAATAGATCCTAAACTTATAAAATACTTCGTAAAAATACATATCATGAATAATAATTATCAGGGATAAGTAGTTTTGTGACAAAAAACAATACATTTTCTGAGTGAACGATATACTGTACGTAGAAAAGACCACAAAACTAAACGCGTTTACTTGTTTTTAGAGAAACCAACGTAGTTATTTAACTGTCTGATGCATTGGCGCCTGGTATGTTCTCATCTCCTGTTCTATTGACCAACTCTAACGTTAATATCGTGTTTACTTTGCTTAGAACTCAACAACAAACATGTTTAATTTTATGTTTTGTTTATGTTAATATTTCAAATGCAATATAAAATAATTTTTATTTGCATTTTGACAAGTCTCTCTCTCTCTCTCTCTCTCTCTCTCTCTCCACATTCTCTCCTTATTTTCAAATTTATTATTTTCAAATAGCGATTGTTTATAATTTATAAATTATAGAATATGTTCCAACAGCTTAGCCCAGGTGCTCGTAATACAATCCGATAAGTAAAGTGTAATATAACTGCTTTATGGCTTTATGAGTGTAATATGGATTGCAAAGCTGAAACCAGGCCGGCCAAGTCGCTGGGAGGGGTACTCTCTCGGCGGCCTTGAGCGGGTCGTCTTGTTTGTAGTCCGATGAACCGTGTACGTCGCTGTGAGTGCTTAATGTTGGTAAAGTCCTGTCGGTGCGTACCCGTCGCGCAGAAGTTAATATTGGACTAAATTTAATAGCCGAAATCAATCTTGCAAAAACTGTAGCCAGAAGGCGGGGTTAGACTTGTCAGCTCAGTATCTTTAAATCTTCAAGAGACCGGTCACCGCCAAGGCTTTAGTTCTTGTATCCCATGTTAAATCCCATCGAGCGGGGGACCCAGGCGGGGGCCGAAAGATCCTATAAACCACATTATTCATAGCTGAATTGTGGTTAAAAATTAGATTGTTTTTAATACATAACAATAATTATTATATTGTCACATTCCATTCGTGATAAGTCTTAATCCATGGAATTTAACATGGGATTTCAGATTAAGGCTATGGCTATATTTTAACATAGGTAATGCTAAGTCTATGGCAATGCTAATCATATGAGTAATGTTAAATCTATTAAAATGCCAATCCTATGTTTAATTGTAAGTCTATGGCAATGTTAAGTCTATAGAACAAATGTTAATCCTATAGACATTGCTAATTATTCAAAAAAGTGGTTAATCTTAAAAATAGTAGTATCCTATTATAATGATCAATGTGTGAGCTAAGAACCAAATTATGTATTTTGTTACTTTTGCTCTCACGCCCTCCATTGCGGGCTTTGGGCTAGTTTGTAATCATTAAATTACAACATTTCTAATTCATAGAATTTTTGGTTAATGGTACTAAATTCTTTTTAAGCAATTAAATAAACATACATTAAAATGATTTTATTGGGGAGCTATTTGTTTATTTGTTATTAATGTTTTAATAATTCAATAAAGGTATGTAATATATTTGTTATAAAATACTTGTAATAATTAAATTGCAACATTTTTAATTGACAGAATTTTAGTTGAATAATACTAAATTCTTTCTATACAATTAATTAAAAATATTTGCAAATGATTTGATCGGGGTACGATTAGTTTGTTCGTTATACGTGTTATAATAATTCAATGTGCAATATATTTGGTAATGAATGGTTATGGTAAGAATATGGTTTATATGATCTCGACGTTACCTTTCCCCCTGTCTGGAATTACTACATAAGTCAATAGCTACACTTTAATATGGGTAATCCTAAGTCTATGGATAATGTTAAGTCTATGGATTAATGTTTGGTCTATTTCAATGCTAAGTCTATGGAGAGTACTAACTCTATGGACTCGTATTAAATGTGTGGATAATGTTAATCTATTCTTGTAATAATACCCGAATTGTGATTAACGGATAGCATCGCGTGTAAACCTTGTTTATGAAAATAATGTAATGAATATATTCTATTTTTAATATCTAAAATTATCAAAACAACAATAATTAAACTGTACTATAAAAACTTTTATATTAGAAAATTATTTAAATGGCTTAAATTAAATCTGTATTGTAGACCAAACTAGTCATACGCCCGACGGCAAATTAATTTCACAAGTTTATGTTATCTACTAGATTATGTAAATATAAATTGGTAAATTTCCCATATATAATTGTGTTGTAATATGTCATTAAAAATTTCATATATTAGAAACTTAGTTTTCTTAAACTTAGAAACTTAGGACAGTTTTAACTGCATTCTATTGCATGTCCCAGCTTAAGTCTATAGCTATACTTTAACATGGGGTTTACAAGTCTATGGGGGAATTAACATGAGATTAAAGCTTAAGTCTATGGCTATACTTTAATATTGGTAATGCTAAGTCTATTGATATTGTCAAGTCTATGGGACTCATGCCAGTCCTACAAACAATGCTAAGTCTATGCGTAAATTAATGGGTAAT